GTATTTTACGACTTTTTTTGCAAGCACTCTAGCGGCAAGGGAAAGCATTTTGGAAAAAAATGTCAAGAGACAAAAATGTTCAGGACACATTTCTCTGTCTGCGCTGATAATTTGAGAAAAATCTGTGGCAGTGCATTGAGCACGCTATGCTGGAAAAGTGCGTTTCTATCGTGCACTGCCTCATAGTTAACTTCACAGGAAATTAAAGAATTCCCAAGAGCACTCGAAAAAAAGGGTCTTTTTTCGTAACACCGTGACGCGACGCTAAAATCCTTCTCAAAGCCCAATGCAACATCCAAAAAACTTCGTTTTCACACTATAAGTAGAGCAGGATGAACTACGTCGATTGACGTTTGAAGAAACTTTCTAGCTAATTTAGTTTCCGAGATAACCGAAGTTTAGTGCGTCAAAAAGGTAACGCCGTGACGTTTGGACAAGTCGCATAGAGAATGACCGTTATAGTCTCTTTTTCGGACTTTTCCTAATTTTCTCAGATTCGAAGTGCTTGCGGCAAAACTTTGGCTCGCTTGAAACTTTCCTTTCATGTTTCCCAACAGGATAACAAAAGAGGAAAAGAGTATCCTATTCATAAATCTCAATGAGTTTCCCTAACAGTGGACTTTCCCAATTAAGATGTTTGTGATGAAACAATTTCGCGATCGCAACGTTTGTACAGCACCTCTGTTAAACGAATAGTATATGAGAAGGTGACCTTATCACCTTTTTGAAGAGTCATCTTGGTTTTATTTATGTACACAATGAACAAAAGAAAAGATAAACAATTAAAGCTTAAAGAAAACACACTGTTGACTGAGTTTTATTATACTCAACGGTCATTCAGATATCGAATTTATTAAGATATAATCGATTATGTATCACTAATATCATTATCATATAAATCACCAAAATCATTAAAAAAATCTTGATGTTGAATTTTTTCAATCATATGTATCGATTGATCAGATAACATATCACCGCCGCTACCATAATCATCACCAATATCGTCTTCGGTATACGTTTCTTCGCCTAGCATTTCATCAATTGGTTTATCCATGTTCCTTTTTGCTTTTAAATTAATAGAAAAAAATGCAATCTAAAACAAATATGTACGTTTGCAAATAAATTTATACTGCTCACAAACAAAATTTATTTTTGTTAGTTGCTGAAACGAATCACATCATATGATAGACAACAATTTTTTCTTATATTCTGATAATCTTTAGAACATACGGTTATATTCTTAGCGAAAGTTAAACAAAACAAACACTTCCAACGCAATGGTGATGAGCTAAAACGGACAACCTGTATCATAAAATCCCTTAGGACTATTAAATACAAATACAATTACATTGAGATAAACAAATTTGGCTTCTTCCTGACTGCACATAAATAAACAATTTTATACACAATCAACTGACAGTTTGAAAATTGACCCGATTTTAAATTTTTTTTCTCATAATTTATTTATCTCTTCTAAAAAAGAGTCTATTATTCTGATCACAATGTAGTCATTTTTTTATTATAAATAAAAGGAAAACGATAACAACATCAAAAAATAACCATATTATAATAAATAAATGAAGTAAAACTTTATACAACGCCAGAGAATTAATATAAAGCAGAACACAAACTTAAAGAGAAAAAACGCATTAAAATTACGAATTATATAGTAAAAAATAAATTTTGTTGTCGGTGAGTATTTTTCATCTATCCTTATGGCTTGTGTAAGACAAACAACCGGGAATCCCAAAAAAAGTTGAGACTTATTCTTTTTTTTCAAGTACAAAAAACAAAGATCAACAATTTCTAATCATTGATTACATTTGCATGACAAGAAAAACAATAAAAAGAACATCAAAAAGAACACAATTTTTTTTTAATATCGTTTCAATTTAGCTTGTCCAAGAAAATAATTTAATACACGATCAATAATATAAGCGGTCATTACGTCGCCCAAAACAACATAAAAAAATATAATTCTCAGCTAAAATAACAAAATAAGAGAAAAAGAATAATAAATATTTTTTTTGTACTAACAAATTGATTTTTCACTTACATCATCCGGTATGATAACAATTTGAAATTGTTCTGTAACTTGAGGTAATAAATTAAATATTAAACAAATTATAAATGTAAATGAGAATATTAAACTATATAGTAAAGGTTTATTTGAACGTAAACTTTCCATAAATGGTTTACCCTTAGAAAAACATAAAAAAATAATTTTTTTTATTTTTACTGCAAAATAAATTTGAGACTTAAAAAAATCTATACCTGATAATTAACAGCAAATGTTGCTACTTGAAGTGTTAAAGACATGATATATACAGTTGTATTGACTAGATTAGGTGAAAATTCTGCTTCAAGATTTGCAAATTCTTCAGATCTAAATAAAAATTCAATTGTGAAGATCAATAAGAATGTCGAGATAAAAATAGCAAAGATATTTCAATGTTACATTTATTATCAGTTCAAGTGTCTTATTTACATTAAAACATCATGTCTTTTATCAGAAGACCGTCATGTAATTCATCATCATACAATAAATGTATAAATCAAAAATAGAAAATAGTCAAACTGTTTACCTGAGAGGTATACGCATGTGTGCTTGACGCACAACATACATGAGTGATGTTAAATGAACGGCAAATTGCGCTAAAACACTAAGTAACGTATAAAAATTAAAAATGTTTGGTAATGGTCGTTCGTGTGCTAATGCTTTCAAAGGCTAAAAACAAGAAAATCAAATTTAGATACTTCAATTAGGATGTAATGTAATAAAGAGTACCTTTGAACGAGATATAAATAGAAAACATCCAGCAAGTAATAATCCTTGCATAGTATGTTGTCCATCGCTAAATTTTATACCATCCAAATATAATACACTTAAGCTATAGGCTAATATCAAGGCATTCAATGCTAGAATTTTAAACATTTGCAGTGTGGTCACTAATGTACAGCGTCCTTGTTTTATAATATGACAGACTAAAAAAAGAACTACAACATTAAACATATGCACCATAAAGATTTTCCACTAATAATTACCACATTGTATTGTCGATGTACGAGATGTGAATGGAGCGGCAATACTAGCATCTCCTAAACGAACAATTGTCTGATCTGTTTCATCCATTTGACGATAAAGTTCATCAATACGTTTCTATAGAATAATAATAAAAAAAAAAACATTTTAGACATTTGACCAACATCAAGATCAAATACGAACTTTCGTTTGCTGATGAGAATGAGCAGTTGCGTCTGTGGGTAATGGTGGTGGTACCGGTACTGATGGCTCTATCGTTTGTTGTTCGACGCGTTTTGCAGCTACGCCGCTCAATAGAGCAACACCTATAAATGAATGAGCGATCTATAATTTTCTATCCATAAAGTTCAAAAAAACAGATTCAGAGGTAGATCTTTTAAAAAATTAAAACGAGTCAATACAGATAGCCTATAAAAAAGTGATGAACATTTAGAGCAGTTTTATACTTAAACTAACCACAATGAGCGTGTTTTAATGCGGCAACATCATTAGTACCATCACCACACATTAACGTTATATAACCAAGATTATTCAGTTTGATAATTACTTGTTCCTAAAATGAAAAATGTGTATAATAATACACTATGAAGTGTGAGCGAAAAACTTTACTTTCTGTTTTGGCGAAACACGAGCAAAAACTTTCACTGATGACATGATGGAATTTAAAAATGTCGGCTTGATCGATGATGACGTCAAATGTAATAAACCCTGAAGAAATAACAATTATCCTAACAGAATTTTCATTCTGACTGTAAAATCAATATTACCTCTCCTGTTATACACAAATCATAGATTCGAATAAATTCTTTGATATCAATAGGTATCATTGAAAGTGCTATATCTTCATGTACAGATTTCCACATCCATTCTTCATCTGAAGTAAGATATACATTATAAAAAAACAATTTTTGTTTTTGTTTGCTGCGCATACCAATGTTTGTTGGTGATGTTAACACAAGCAATGGTTTTCGAGTAAAATTTAATTCTTTAGCCACATGACAGGCAGTCAACGGATTGTCACCCGTTATCATGGTTAACTATAAACAAACAAACAACGTCATCGAATTTCGACATACAGAAAGGAAATGGAGAAAATAAAGCGGATTCAAATCTCACTAAAAAATCGGATAGGCAGTTTTGTACACAACTAAATTCTACAACTTCAGTCGTCTATTCTTATAAAGTTTCCTGAAATAATAGGTCACCTTTGTACTTCAACTTTTTACTATTCGCAAATGTTTTGAAATCTTCATACTGGGCTTAAAAGATGGGAAATATTATCTAGAAATGCACTGATATATTTAACTTTCAACCATAAATATTTATGCTTGGTTTTTTGAAAACTTTCGAAATAGTAAAACTCCATCATAAATCCTTACTAGGACATCTTTCTCTCCTAACTGGAGTTTTCTGATAATGACACTATGCCTATTCGAGTCGAGTATATCGATAGCAAGTGGAAAGAATTCTCTTTATTCTGAACTATAAAAAAAGAAATTCGTTACAATATCTGTATCATTTATACAATATACAGCATATACATATTCTCAATTTTCATTCATTATGTTTTTCATAGAAACAAATTTATTCTCTTCTATTACGAAATAATTATTTTATCAATTTTATACGATTTTAGGAAGTCTGGAATGTTACCTAAGCGATTATTCTTATGACTGAATGTAGTTGAAAGAATAGTTTCATAAAGACTACGAATTTTCAGATCGCAGTAAGTTTTTTTAATATTTTTACTATTTCGAAAGTTTTCAAAAAATCAATCATAAACATTTATGGTTGAAAGTTTAATTTACCATTTGCATCACTAGGCAATATTTTCCATCTTTTAAATCTGGTATAAGGCACTGTAAGGCACCTACTGTTGGCTTGAAGTTTGTTGTGATTGTCGAGTTCCTAGTATTTTGTTAATGGAAAAAAGAATTTCGCATAATTCCTTGGTTATTTTTTTAAAGATTTCTGTTATTTTCACACGATCTCTTCTAGGCTTAATGCTAATTGATATTATATGCCTCTTCATTATACTTTACTTTATTTCTTATTAAGAAAGCAAAATTTGTCAATTATTTAGGTATATTTTTGTAGCCATTTAAAAGCTCTATCTACTGAATATAATTGATCATAATTAAAACTAAATCAAGTGGTGAAATAGCGAAATTCATACCACACACCTTTTTATGCAAAATATGGAATACTGTTGTCGTATGAAAATTGTAATTCTAAATGATTTACATGTCACTTAAGATGTGAACACTTATAAGTACATCCTAAAAATTTACAGTCAAAATAGTGTTTCGTCGTTGAGTTATTGAATTTTTATAGAAAAGTTGAAAAACAGCAAAGATCATTTTGTTTCAGGACAGATTTCATATTTAAATCTTTTTTAGTTTCTGCTTATGGTGGAATCTTTGCAAAAATAGAAACAATTCTACGTAGTAGCTCTTTTTTTAACTCTTTCTATCGCAAAAAGAATAAAGAAAAGAATGATGAAAACAACTTTAAAAATCAGAACAAATATCAATGGCATAAAATTTGTTTTAAGCTCATCTATCGTGAAGAGTAGACTTACATGATGAGATGAATATAAAAGTTCCTTGATCATTGCTTTCGAGTCTGGTTTCAATGGACATGATAGCACAACAAACCCACAAAAGTCTAAATTTTGTTCGATTGAATCACGGGTTTGTTCACGAACCTAAACAGAAAAAAAGGTCAAAAACAAAAATAAATGGGATGAATACTTGTTATTCGAGAACATACTTGTTGAGCACTGAGAACACCAAGACTTTTATGTCCCAATGCTAATACTCGCGCACCTTGTCGTGATAAACGTAAATAGATTTCATCATATCTCTCTGGTGGTTTTCTAAACTATAAATAAAACAAGTCTAAATGTGTTCAGTAAGTGATAGAGTCTAACAAATTTTTAAAAGAAAAGGCTAAAATTTTTTATATACTTAATGCTTCTTCAGTTATTCTAACATTTAAATTTTTCTTCACCAAACACTTTCTCTGTGTAGTGCATGTAATTCATTGTAAGCATCAACTATATATGCGTTAACTAAGAGAAATATCGATCAACCATAACATGATACAAATTACGCAATCTTTTTCATTTCTAACATGTTTTTGAAGAAACCGTGAAGTGTATTGATTGAAATGAAAAATTTTAGGAATAAATGAAATGCCAATTAAAAGCCATAGTTTTAAACAACATATTTGTTTTTATAATCGAAATAGCCTTGAACAAAAAGATCTTTTTTCCTTTTATTTTGTTCTCTATTTCTTATTGACATTACTCAAATAATTGCTGTGAAGAAAAGCAACTTGTACAAAAAAAATTCTTCAAAAATAAAAAAACATCAGTCTTGTTAATACAACGTATAACGGGATAAAATTTTCCAACAATGACAATGAAACAAACTGTTAGAGGTCGAATTTTAATAAAAAATGGTAATTCTAATTTTCATGGGGATGAAATATTATATATATCTGTACGTGATACATTGAGACATGATGTGGATTGTATTGAACTTGGAAATCAAAATATTCGTTTAAGAAAAGGACAACAATTTCCTGTTGATTATGAATGTACTTATGATCCATCGAAAGCGCATATGAAATTTGAGCAAATTAAATCGATACCAGGTGGAATTACAATGTCAGCCAGAATTGAACGAAATGAACAATTATTATTTATTAATGATACAAGTATTCCGTTAAGTACAAACGTTGATATTGAATTAGTTAAAGTCGATTAATAAAACGGATATTTTATTTATATAACGATTTAAAATATTGTTTTGTTTATTTGAAAACTGTTCTTTTTATTATGGTTCGAACTACTTACTAAATCCATCTGTATAGCACTCAAATATAAGCATGTCAATATTCTAACTTGCACAACAATCAAAGCTTAACTGATGTCTTTTTCAATAAATAAAATTCACTTAATCTTTACAGCAAATATGTTAGTTCAATGTTTGAGCATAAATGATTAGCATTTTTTTTTTGTTAGGAAGGAGAAAATCAACGTGTATAATTGCAGTAGGCTATGAAATGAATTTTACATACCATGCTTTTCAAGGTTTCTGGTGCTCCCTTGACAGTAGCTATATAACTTATTTCACCCGTTATTGTTTGTCCAGCTATAACACTCATTCGTTTTAATGCGCTAGAAAAATGATATCGTTGAAATATTTGCCATCGACCAGAACGACCCTTTATTGGTACAACTGTATCGCCTAAATAATGAGAGAAGGTCAAACATTGTTTTTATTATAGTTATTTCATTCGAATGTACCCTTCGTTACTGTCCATTCAAGTGAATTTAATGTTGCTTTTTCTAACGGGTCACCAATAATATTACCATCGAGATTAGCCAGTGAATGACAAGTTAATAATATTTGTTTAACAGGAGATGTTGCATCCAGCGATGAAAGAGGTATAGGATCGTCTGATCTAAACAAGAATATATTTAGTTTGCTTTAATCTCTACACACATGAAAATAGTAAGTATTTAACATCTCAAAAAAGAATGATGATCGTTCAACAAATTTTGAAACATATAGTTTATTTTGTCTGAATTATATTTAGGCAAAGAAATAAGAATACTATTCACTCACCCGGTAATAATCCAATATATACTATAGCAAGTACTTAATATAAGCTGAATTAATGACAAAATCAGTCTATGGGTATACTTGCACAAACAAATCTTTCAAATCAAAATTTTTATATGTTTTAATAAAAAATCAAGGGAAACACTTGAAAACATTTACTTGTAAGTATAGCAAAGAACGCATTGATCAAATTACCCTAATGTATCTTTCAGGATATATTTCCACCGGGTCAAGCGGCGACAATTGGAGTGGATTTTATGATCAAAACAGTAGAAGTTTGTGGTGAAAAAGTGAAAGTATGTGTCATCACATTTCTGTTGATATGTTATTATTTAGTGTTAATCTTTATATACTCTTTTTCTTTTTTAAAGTTACAAATTTGGGATACGGCAGGTCAGGAAAGATTTCGATCGATTACACAGAGTTATTATCGATCGGCTAATGCACTTATCATTGTGTTTGATATTAGGTAAACGATTACATTGTAAAAGTTAAGATTATCTTTGAACAATATTTCTTTAGTAATCAACCATCATTTGACTGTCTAGCAGATTGGATTCGTGAGGTAAAAGCGTACGGTAACAACAATATTTTGTCTGAATTATATTTAGGCAAAGAAATAAGAATACTATTCACTCACCCGGTAATAATCCAGTATATACTATAGCAAGTACTTAATATAAGCTGAATTAATGACAAAATCAGTCTATGGGTATACTTGCACAAACCAATCTTTCGAATCAAAAGTTAAAAGAAGTGTTTAAATTTTATAAACGATTAAATACTTCTCACAAGTACGTTTGAAAAAAACTGATAGCTAACTATTTTGCATTATGTTGAAATCTTCGTTCCAAAAAGATTCTAAAGCACAGTATTTAGTTAATATATTTCTATAATAGAAGAATTTATCGTATTTCAAGATGATCCACGCATATGGCAGAGTATCCAATACTTGTGTATTTTCTACGAACATAGTTTAGCAAACTAGCGAAGCCAAAATACATATTTTAGATGAATGTACATGGTTTTAGAAGTTTGCAACATCTATCTGAATGGTGTCTTTTCAAGTTCCAACCAAAAATATAGGAAAAATGCGTTACTTTTTTAAATAACTTCAATTTTTGCTAGCAATGTTATTTTTTTCTGATTTATTCTTTTATTTCATGAACTTGACTGATGTTAACCAAGAAAAACACTGCTGACATATCGAAAATGTCGTAAAAGCAATTCTCAGAGTATGGTTCGTGTTTTTCGTTTCATATTTATTCAGAAGACCGTCGTGTGAATCATCATAGAACTGCTTTGATACGTAATACTCCAAACAAAAATAATCCAATTTTATCTCTCTCTCGCTCTCTCGTGAGATTACGAAATAAACAATTATAACCAATGTTTTAAATTTTTGCTTTTCCAGAAAAGAAACTAGCACTAAAGCTTCTGTTAAATAAAAGATTTCTTACCCTATTCCGGCTACACCTTCAACAACTAAATCGTCACTTGTCAATGTTCCAGTTTTGTCAAAACAGCATATATCCACTTTACCAGCAAATGGTATGCGAAATGGTTCTGTACAATAAATAACTAAAATTGATAAAAATAAAACAAATATGACTTTGCAATTTTAGAATAGGAACAGAAGAAAATATCATCTGTTGAAAAATCATTTCTTGACAAGTACTTACATAGTTTAACTAATGCAATTAATGATGTGTTAACCGCTAATGATAACTCAATCGGCAGTTCAGGTGGTACAACAGATGTAAGAATTAGAGCACATTCAATAAATAATTTGTAACGATTACGTTTTGGATCCTTCGTACCTTCAAACAACAAACTATGATTAGCATGAAATTTTCCCGACAAATCGTTTAAAATAACAACGTATGAAAAGAAACTGTCAGAGACTCTAATCTTGTCGAATTATCATGGGTATTATCAAGACAAAATGCTTTCATCATTCAGCTTCTTTTTAACCCAGCTAATCTTAAAACATAAGGGTCTCACCTTCTGTCCAAACATAACCAGCAGCAATAATTGCAAACACAAGTAAAAATAAAATAAACAAAAATGTTTCAAGATTATTTGCTGTGACACGTTTAACACTATAAAGTATTGTTTTCAATAATTTTCCTTGGGATGTACTGAACCCGGTACGTAATGCATAAGCTATACAACCATTATCTTGAGCTAAAACACAAAAAATACTGACAACTTTCAACGGAAAGGAAAAAGTTAATCATTAATTTACATTTAATTCCACCATGTGTTTTTGCTGGTGGTGTATGTTGAACAATCTTTGTACCGGCAAATAATACATGAAGTTTTCCATGACGTTCGAAATTAAATGTCGTATTTTCATCGACATTCTCAATGGGCTCCTACAAAAATAATAAGTTGATTTAGTTGGGAAGCAGAAAAAGCTAGAAAACTTCTAGATCATACTTCTGCCCTCATTAAAGTATAAACTGACATCATATTTTATTCTGCCGGCATAAAAATGTCGTGCATAACTGTTCAGTACGTCAATGAAACTAATCATTGGGCAATTGAAATATAACTAATTCATCGATTAGTCGTTTACGTACCTTCATTTGAGGTATGGATTCTCCGGTCAACATTGATTCATCAACAATACATTGTCCTCTTAATAGTAGCATATCGCACGGTAATGGGTTATTCTCATTTGTTCGCAACACCGAACAAATATCTCCAGGTAAAATATCTGTTGTATCAATTTTGATCCATTTTCGTTGTCTATAAACGGAAATTTTATACGGTTGATTACCCATTGTTCGAATTGTTGCCATATTACGTTTTTGCTGTTGAACCAATGTTACTTCAAATGTTATTAACATAAACAACGTCAGTATACTGTAATACCTAAAGGTAAGAGAAAAGCTATTAAATAAACTATCCATATATTCTGTGATCTAAAATTTGAGCGAACAGTGGTATAGTAGTGGTATATTATAACGACACAATCGTACAACAAACTAACAGTTTAGTTCAGATAAAAATTAAATTCTCGCATTTTAATGTTGATTGATTTGTTATACGCTTACTCAAAATATAAAGTAAACTATCTTTATATCATTCTTACACTGTAGCACATTTCTCCGCTTATGTCATGCGTTAGCAGTTATAACATATTCTACTAATGTGCTGTTAAATAGATAAATAAGAAACAACTTGATAGTTCTCAGCAACGATATTGTCGTTTCATATTATTTAATCAGAAGACCGTCGTTGATGTCATCACTGAACTATAATGAGAGCTGTCTGACAAGAAGAGAAATAGAAGACAATTGTTCTTTTAAGATAAAAAATATAGACATTTTGTTCTGCCATCAGATACTTTTGGTTTAATCGTCATTTAATGCATCGGAGTGGTGCATGATATTTCATCATTGGCAGAACAAACAAAAGCAGTAACAAAAGTATAATTCCTTCAACTGTACCTACCAATATTCGTCTAAACACCACAGTAATACACAAAATACTTGAAAAACAAAAAATGGAGCTGTGGCACGTTCAATAAATAAATCAATAAATTTTGGAATGTCAATAACCATTCTAAATGAAACAAGTATGGGAAAATGTTCTTATCATCAATCGCTCACTACTTTACTAACCTGTTTGAACCGAAATTCCATGTTGCTTGATCAATTTCATCATTTTGTAAACCTTTTGATTGTAAATATGTATGAAAAGAATTTGACAACGGGTAATCAATTATTTGGAATGTTTTTTTTTCACTTTCATCATAGACATAACGTGACTTTTGAAACATAAACCATACTTGTTCTTTGTGAGTTTGAGGATCCTAAAAATGAAAAAATTTACTGCTCTGGTGCGAACAGTCCTTTAATTTCACACCTGTCCATGATGTAATGGAACCATTTCCGGATAGCCATTATTCGCTGTTGGTTTTACTACTACAACCTCAGCTTTTGACGGCGTCCTTTCCTAAAACATAATGGTTGATAATTATCAACGCTCTATCATAGACAACACGATAAACTTACTGGGTAACATTGCATAAAAGCGCGAACTTCGACAAACCAATAGCAAAATAAACATATAACAATGTGAATGATAGCTATGATAACAGTAATAATGATGCCCAGTTCTGGATACTGTGATAAACCAAAATGATATATCCATATAACAAACCACGTTAGATAAAAAAAAACAAATGGTCCAATGTTAAGATGTAGTAAAAAATGTCGAAAACAATATAATGAGACGGAATAAATATCATCATTTAATGGAATTTGTCCAATAAAGTTCTTGTTCTTAAGCAGCATCTGTTCAGCAGCTATAGAACAACTAAAAGACAGAAAAAAAAGCAATATTCAACCAGTAGTGACACGAAAACGCTTAGTACCTTGTGTGAACTTGAAAATGTGAAACTAATGATTAGAAAAAACAGAGCACAGTCTACTTACTGTTATTTATTTTTATCAGTTCAATCAAAAAATTTCATTTACAAAGAAATTGAAAACAATACTCTTTAACATCTGCTAGTCAGCTCTGAGAATTGTACAGTCGCACTGTACTAATCTATCGTACACTGATGCAGGGTATTGTCCTCGTTTATGTGTGTGTTCTCTCGCTCTCCTCATCTAAGAGCGAAAAAGATAAAAAATGGACTCTTGAATTCCTAGCCTCTTTCACGAGGTTTTTTTCATTTATTTTGATTTTTGAATTAAGAATAGGGAGATAGAGGGCAAAAACGTTGTATCATTGAACAGAAGGGCAAAACATCATATTGATCATGCTCAAAGAAATTATTCTATATGGATAATCGCGCCAGTGGACGGTATCAATCTTTGTAATGATTTAACAGGTTAAGATAAGCTAGGCAGAAAGCGCTATTGTCAATGTGAAATCATGTTGTTCTCAACGCTTTCCGCCTAACAACTGTGTCTGGCATAGCATATCGTAATCGATTATAACTGTGCGCTCATTTCATAATTATTCATTTAGACATTTTAAGAGGACGGAATGTTAGATCAGACCTGTCTAAATCGTACAATTAAAAAGATGTCTATTTAGAGTTATGATTAAAAAATAAGTCAAAAATCACACTTGGTTCTTTGATCATCATTAAATCTTTCATGTAGTACAGTAGCAGCACAAAAAGCATAGGTGAATGAACAAACAGACTGTCTTTTATATTCATCTTTTGATAAGCTCTAAAAAAGCTAAATTTTAAATTGTCTCACTGGCAAGTGAAAAGAACAAAAAAAAAGTTTTTAACGCATTACTATTTTATATTCGGGATTGGTAATCTACATGCGAATCAATAGTAAGAAATTCAAATTTATTCTTTAACGCTCTTCGGGGAATATCGAGAGTCACTCACTTGCGTGATTAATCTGAACTTTATATCGTACTACACAGAGTTTTCATCTTTTCTTCTAAGGCTTTCTTCAAACGTTGAAGACACCGTGGGTCTGTTCTACGCAGATAATATTGTAGTCGTCCATGCAGAACAAAAGCCGAGTATATTAGGTTAGCTAGTCTTTAAATGGGATCGATTTAATTTTCTCTCGATCAAATCTCTAGAGAACTGAGAAAAATTAAAGTTATATATCCCTACGGATAATCTTGTCTGGTATAGTTTGCATAAAAAATTTAGCTTGCAAGTAGAGATAGAAATCGATCGACGGCGCCGCAACCATTTGTTCGATTGCCATTTCTACTTGCACGATGAAAATAGTGACGGTTGCAAATTAGTGAGAAATACTTAGTGACAATTGAAGTCGTTTATCTTAGTTTTACATCAGATGAGATGTTTAACATCAAAATATTTTTGGATTTCTTTCGAAGTTAAATTGTTCAAAAACGAAACTTTGTATCGGTTTTTCTCTTTTATCCATTGTATGGTGCATTTTATGTTTCAGATCTATGTCTCTAGCGGACTTTACTGGGGGAATTGCTGGTAAATATTCTGTTTTTTTTACATTCTTCGACAGAGGCATTCAAGAACTCCACCGAGATGATTTGTTTATTTCGACAATTTAACCTCATCATCTGTCTAGATTTATAATTTTTAGTGGAAAAATGTTGTTGCTTAAACACTAATTTTGCATCACAAAAGATGTAAGGTGCCCGCAATTCAAAAATGCAGCACATTCAGATACTCCTGAATGCGCTGATTTCGAATATCACCTTTTTATTCGAATTTGATCAAATTTTTGTGGAGAAATTCTCAAAATACTGAGAGCACCGAGAAAACAAAAAATTTGCATTACTCAGAAAAAACTTAAAATTTTGCCCCCTTTCCGTTCACTGTAATTTTTTGAATTTGATATATTTGGATTCCCCATCAAAAACTGAGTCTAATCGTGTATCTTCGAGTCACAAAAAACAAAATACCTGTGTTCCACAATTTTGACAAGAGTAAGCA